AACTGTTTTAAAATTTGATGCAAAAAAAAAAAAAACAGAGTATGTCTTTGGAGAAACAGTAATTCACCAGCCATTCCCTTTGGAGGATAAACAGATATATTAGGGACAACTTTATCAACCCTGGGTCTTCAGGAAATAGGGGCAAGAGACTTTTTTTTTTTTTTTAAATAAAACAGAGGAGGTTTAAGCACACTGGACATTCATGGTAGAATCAAGTTCCATCTGAGATTTTTCCATATAAAGGAAACTATGTTACCAGGCACAGGTAATATCTTCCTGGTTTTCCTATGCTCGGATATTTAACGTGTGGAATTATTATTAACAAAATCTATGTACATCTGTAGGCCAAGAGACAAATCTGAAGAGAAAAAGTAACACTTCTAATACCTAAGAGTCAGAGCATAGATAGCATAATGTACAGGCTCTAGCCTCAGGAATGTCCAGAAGCAGATGCTTAAACAGCTGCCTTTATCACCTGCCAGAACACCTCATATCCTCAAGAAAACTAGCAAGTAGTAAGGCATTTGCAGATCTAAATCTGCCCCCCAGAAAAAAAAAAAAAGCTTCAAAAAGCTTCTCCCATCTCCTACAAAGCTCTTTGCCTGCTATCTGCCAGAAGTACACTTAAGAAAACTTAAGATGAAAAAGTAACCTCAGAAAAGCAGTGGCAACAGATAACTGGAAACTTGTTTGAATCTGGTTCCACAAAGGCAAAGCAACATATATTTATGATTTTTATTCCAATAGATGTACCCAGCAGAGACCACGCAGCTTGTCTAAAACAAGAAGATGACTTATTTGCCTGGATGAAAAAGTAAGACGTACTTCAAAAAAATTATGTAGTGGGATCCACTGCAGTATACCTTCCTACTGAAACAACTCTATATGTGAACAAAAAACGTGGGCAGATATTATTTGTTAGAGCATCGCTGCTATCTACCAGTGTGTGCCAGTGGTTATATACTCACTATTTAGCCGAGTCAGAAAGCTGATATTCTCTTCTCCTGTCATAACACTCTTGGATTCCAGGGTCGTTCCACAAAGTCTTAATTGCACTTACATATGGTTGCTCAAATGTCATGACCTTTTCTACATCCACTTCCCGGATCAGCACTGCATTGGCCTGAAGACAGAAAAGCAAAAAACAAAACAAAACAAAAAGCTCTCAGATAACTAAATCCTTACACTATGACTTCAAGGATCCACGTTATGGTTGCAGGTCAAGTTGCTAAGGCCAGAGGAGCAATGGGCAAACTATACCTCTAAAACTTCACAGCTCCAATTTTTCTTATATTGCTTTAAAAAATGAAATACTTAAGTGAAATTTCATTTAATAGCAGGCATCAGCAAAATTCCCCCAAAGCATCATGGGCTCCTCCACAGAATTAACCGTAAAACGGCAACAGACTTTACCTGTCAAGATGTGCTACATCATTAGATAACCAGATGTTTGTAAACACTGTGGTTTCCAAGGCACAATGTTTAGTGCAAAGAGCTCTGAACTGCCCAACTTTTGAGAAGGTAAAGCTGTATTTTAAGAACAAGCTGCTATCTCAGGTTTCTTTTCATAAAATTTAAACTACATTTTGAGTAGTGACAGAGACATTGCTTTAAGTGCATTTCAATCGTGTGTTCAATCACGAATAGGTGTCTTTTGGGTCCACCATATATTCGATCAGCTTCAACTTCAGATGCAAATACCAACTCATGCAAAGAAAAACGCAGCACATCTAACGTGACTGAATCCTTGAGATGAGTACATAGAACACTTCTCCTATATCCTACCCCTATTCCTTGCTCTGACTAATTCATTATACAGACCAGTGCACAGACCAGCCTGAGAACAACTTCATTCAGAGGAACATAATGACTGTTCCTCAGGCAGAAAGTTGCTTCATTCCTTAACACAACCTAGCGAACAGAGCCAGATATCAGTAAAGTATCATAAAAAGCAGTCCTTAAACAAAAAATACTTACGGGAAAGAGTTTTATGATTTGGAAGAAGACAAATAAACAGGAACCTACATGTCAAACCCTAGAATTCCCTTTGCCTAAAAAAGGCATACAAATATTGTGAGAGACTTACCTTGTTCTGTTCATATTTGTACAGAATCTTCAGGGTTTCCATGGCCCTGATCATAGACTGCATGGCAGTAAAGATGTTTTGGTATACCAGCTTGGTGAAGCCTTTTTTGTCTTCTTCAGAGTATCCTGAGCCATGAATTATACGCATCTGCTTAATGAACGTGCTTTTCCCACTTTCCCCAGTGCCTGCAGAATACAAGAGAGAAAGCTAGCAGACATAGCAAGCCTTGTTTGTGATAGATGAAACAAAGCTAACATCGCATCATACCTCAAAGTTCCTACTGCTGCATCCAAACATACGCTATCTTACCAACTACTTTTCTAGTCGCTTTCCAGAATATTGAAAGACAGTCCGGATGGTCCTGCTTACCCCCACCACGACTCTAGTGAACATAGAAGGAAGACATCTTGTCCTTTACAGCAGCCTTCAAAAGCAACTCTGGTACTTATTCCAAATCTCACGTTACAGCCACTCCCACACATTCTGCGTCAAAAGGCCCTTGTCCGTCACACCTGACCTATTCCCAGATACTCTAGCAAGATGCTACAATCACAGCACCAGCCAGAGAGGGCCCAGATGCACTCTCAAGTTAGTGAGTACTGCAAACTGAGATAACAACAAGCAGGTCAGAGAAACCTATTTGCACAGTAAGGACCAAATTTTCCTTCACTGTGATTCGGTAGCAAACACCATTTAACTTATAGACTATCTATCTTTTTACAGAAAAGAACAGAACACAACAGAAGAAAATCAACTCTAAAGGAAGAGAGAACTCAAGAAATTACTTGCTCATCCATTTGACATGGACAATCAAATCAGTACATCTTCCCAGTAACCCAAACTACTGTGCAACGAAAAATAACATTTGCTCTTAAGGACTGAAACTATAATCCTCATTGCAGCAATATAAAAGGCTGCAGGTAGTATGCTGCCACAGAAATTTTGCTTGCCGCCTTTGGATATTATAGAGTTAAAGAAGTAAGGACTGACAGGGAAAGCACAGTAGGATGCTGCTTGCAGCTGTCTGCACTCTGTCCTGCTCCCCAGCAGACAACAGGCTGCTCAGCAGGACTACTGGTTCCTTATTGCACAGCTTTACTGCCCAGGGGAAGCCGTGTCTTCGAGTAGCTGGGAGGGCAAGACAGATTCATACCAATGCCAATGTATTAAATAGTCTAACCCTTTCAAAGTCTGCTTCCTGCACAGTCAGTTGGGCAGGTCTTCCCACCCCCATATTTAAGGCTCCAGAAAAGCATCAGCTAGCAATTGAAGGCCAGCAGAGGATACGAAGGTGGCGGGAACCCTCTAACACAGTGAGCATGAGGTGGAAAAAGCATCAGCAGATAAAGGATTCATGCCATACCCAGCCTTGTTACAATCATGATTCAACTGGTGTTATGGAATTCCCCCAGCAACTTCCACTCTGTTTACACAATATCTTCCGTGCAGGGGATGCAAGGGTCAAATCCTACGTATGATTAGCATACTTCCATACTTTCATCCCACAAGCAACAGCCAAAGGATACACCACTGACACTTCTGTTGAGTACTTTTGCTCAATTTTCCAAAATTTGCTATTGATATGCATTTAACAGAAAGCTAATCCAGAATGATAGCTCTTTATTATTAAAGTGGCCCAACTCACTTGATTACTAAGAGCAAAAAACTAAAGCGTGGCTCCTAAGCGACAAATCCTTTTGACCTGTGGTTACAAACAAACACGCTGGCAGAACCCTGGCTTTCACCACAGGAACCACCAGGTAGTCACCTCACACCAGGGGACAGATATATTCAGACAGGATCTCATTCGTCACAACACACAACCACTACTCAGAGGTAGATTCCCAGTTACCCATGTTTATAGTACCAGGCTAAAAGACAAACAAATAGATATGCTCAAATACAAGCAGCAAAAGTGTAACTAGAAGCAGTGTGTTTAAAATAGAGAGTCAAACTCTCCCCGTCTCTGAGAACTGATGGGATTTTTGGCAGCCTAATTAGAAATTAGCACCATAACCACCATTATCCTGCAGTAAACTGTCTCTATCTGAAACAGAAAGCTTCACCACGAAGGGGGAGAGAAAGGGGAAAAAAAAAATAATCAGAAGTTCGGAAACCGAAATCTTCTGTGGTTAATACACTGTGGTGAGAAATACTTCCTTGTTTTTTACCACAGCGACCAAAACAGAAAAAAGAAAAAAATAGAGGTGCCTCAAAACGTTCTGATAACAAAAACATAAAACAAACTTCAGCAGCATTCATTCACTTCAGATCTCACTTACTTCAGAACTTCAGAGTTCAAACACAGATTCTTCCCAACACTTCATCATCACTCCCCTCTTAAAAAAAAAAAGTGCCTCTTGCTTTTTTGCAGGCCATCAACAATACAGAACAGCACCACAGCAGAACATTACAAGCTCTGCTGAGTGTAGTCGCCTATATTCATAAGGACACAATAACTTTTTTTAATTTGACAGCATTGAGCCAAGGAGACAACCTGAACCCACCATTTTTTCTGTCAGCATGTGAAAGCTGTAGAGTTTCCAGTAAGTTACTACTGATCCTCAAGTACCTGACAGCCACCTGTAAATATATTTATTCAGTCAACAGTATCCCACGCTTAATCATAATTCAAGAATCAGATTAATTTTTGTTTAAAACAGCCCCCCTACACACGCACATCCAGTAAAGAGAACAATGATTGCCTAATACCAGGGGGTATGTCCAGTACCTTGAAATCACATTTCTTACTATCAGGTTCATCGTACAGCTCTGTTATTCTTCACCTCAAGTTTTAACTGTCACACTAGACAGAGAAGACAGGAAAAAGTTACTACAGCTTCTACAGTGCAGAAACTCCCTCCCCACACATTCTTCTCAAAATACTGAGCGTTTGGAGAAAGCTCTCTCTAACATGATCGTTCACGTTTGTGAACGTAAGAATACTACGTAACAGAAACGAGAAACAAGAAAACCCTACAAACGGCAGTTCTGTCAAGGAGAGAGAACATACATTACCTGCAACAACTTAAGACAGGCAATGAGCAATACTGCATACAGTGAAAAGCACCCTGCAAACAGGAAAAAAGGCTTGGTCTTTCTAATCATGTCCTGAAAATGGGAGTGTTAGTTATTCAGTCTTAACCATCCCACATTGATTTTTTTTTTATTTTTTAATCTGATGCTGAATCTTACTTAAGTCTATCTTTTAGGAAAAGAGAAAGGTCTCTAGAGCAACTTGAAGTTAATTTCTGAAGTGAACCAGTTTAGCGAGATTAGATGGGGATCTTCTTAGCCCATATCTGGCCTATGGCTCCAGCCTACTTCAAAACAAGTGCTTCTGTAGGACTGTAGGTTTTAAAGAAGTATCCGAGTCCAAGAGACACCTTTCCCAGCCTACAAGAAGCCTTATAGAAACCAGCACAGCATCTTCAAAGAACACAAATGTGAAGCCCTCAGTTTTCTCTTTCACCTGAAGGACAGTAGTATATCCACAGCCAAGGTATCTTCTCACTCTGAGTTCTAGCAAGGTGAGAAGGAAAGCCATAGCCTTTACTTAATAAATATCTCTATGCCACCATGTCAGTGCTACAGATCTCCAAAGGACTGGGCAGATACAGCCTCGCATTTGTTTTCACAAGGCTCAACCTACTTTTTCACCTGTGCCTTACAGGTTTGCCAGTTCAGTACAGACTACAAATGAATAAACTTATTCCATCAGACCTGCTTCACGTTCCAGTTTGAAATGATGCCACTATTGAGACACAAACCAGGATACATACGTGAGCAGTGATGAATTCCAGTACCCACGAAAACTGTAACTTAAGTCTCATTTGGAAGCTACCTGGGAGTGAACATCACAGCAGATGCTGAAGAAGGATGCACGTTCTTGAAGCCTTAGCTGGTTGCTCTTGTAACAGACCACCTCTCCCTGCAATCCCTTTGTAAACCAGGTATAGCTATCGCTCTGTACAATGGCGGGACACCGCTATGTTTCTACGCCAACTCCTACACCCTCATCACAGCGCAGGGGACCTCCAGCCCGGCAGGTAACGCTCAACGCCTGGCCCGCGCCCCGCCAGGTCTGCCAGAG